CCAGGGAGCTACCCGGGATTGACACCGGATCAGAGGCCACAAAGGCACAACACTATCCAAGGCCCCAGTGGCCGCCCTATCCCAGGCTTCCACTAGGGCTTCGGTTGAGTTGTGAGCAAGGGATTCAGGAAAAGTCCCAAGCTCCATCAGAAACTTTTCAGGGTCCATCAGGCCCCTGGGGTGGAACCATCTAGTCGGTTGTATGTATGTGGCAGGGCAGATTTTGCATATATATTAGTTAGTCACCTTTGATATAGGTGGGATATAGTACTCACTAGTATATCAAACATAAAATCAAGAAACAGAACAACAGCTAAGACAAAAGGACAAAAAATTTCCTAAGAATTTACCTTTTCTTAGGAACTTACTAAAGCTTTATCTGTATTGCCCAATTAACTTGTCATCAGACAAGGCAAGCAGTTTTTCTGGAGGGCAGTAATGGATGACATCACCCTCTATTAATCTGTAACTCACCCTCAAGTGACCTCACAACGTGTTTCTTCATTCAACTTTGAAATATCGTTTTCTATCTTCAAGTGACTGGGGAAAATAAATGGTATACTCCTAAGGTTATTGAAGAAAAAGAAGAAGAGAAATTGGCTGTTTAAATTAGAAAAATAATAATCAAAGCAACATCAACAACAAAATTTGCTGGATTTCAAACCAGCACCCATGCCTATACTACGTGAAGATTTCAACCACTGTTCTATTTAAGTACAGATAGCTCTTGTTTAGAGACTTCAAATGGCATTGGGAACTAACTTCATTAAGCAAAGCAGTCACTAACTAAAACCATGACTGTCTTATGATCTTACTTAAGCTTTCATGTGCTTTACAGACCTGTGAAAGTCACAATGCAGGCATTGGTCACAAAGTTATTATGAGTAAATGCCCCAATTTATAAGTATACAGCAATCAAATTGGCAAATAAAAGAGCTGATGACAGGTCTGATAGCTGTATTTTAGTAGATATGAAATGGGATAATATTCCAATGAATATGTAGAACAGCATTATGTTCTGATAAAAAAAGTTTACAAAGAAGTTTTCATTTAGGAAAATATTCTCCCAAAGTTTATATACTAAATATGGTGGCTTTAAAAAGAGAATTAAGGAAAGTTGCTTTAAAAACTTGCACCTTTTAGGGGAAGTTCTGAACAAAAAATGAATTTTCAGCAGTTAAAAATGGGAAAATAAAATGTATGTTTTTCATAATTAGGAGGATTCATTTACTCCTATTATCAAGTATCCTAGTAGTGTATTATCCATTGGTCATTATTAACTGTGCTCCTTGATTTGATGGACCAAAATTGTTCTTCCTAAATTCTGGAGATTAGGTTATTTATTATATGAAATTAATTCATCTTGCTCTGACATGTAATGAATCTTATGTTCTACAAGACTGAATATATTGAAATGAAAGGCAGCCTTTTCATAAAGAAATTACCATATTCTCTGTGTTACCTGGTCATTTTATTTGACTCTTTGCCAGTACCTAATTATGACCAACAAAGCAGTCCCAGTGGTATGTTTTCATCAGATGATACAAAGCAATTGTAATTTATGCAGGTTTAGATTATATTTTCCAAATTGCCAGTTTACATCATCCTGGCCCTATAACAAATAATAACCAGTTCATAGAAGAATCCATTCAAATGCCTCAATTTGTTTTGTTCCAATACTCTTTGTCAGGTAAATAATGTTCTCACTAAAGATTTCATTTAATCTTGTTGTGAATTAAATATCTTACCAGAACTTATTTTCCAATGTAAATAATAATTATCATTTTCCATTTATCAATAATTCCCTCAGTTTGTTTCATCCTTTCATCAAAGAAATCCCCAAGCATCATATAAATTTCCCACACATTGGCTATATTTTGTTAGATCTAATGTTCCAGTTAGAATGAGGCACCCACTCTAATCAGAGGCTATTCTCACAGAAAATATTTTATTTGTATTGATTTAGCAGATTTCAGTTGATGTTTGGCAAAATGCCTTGGATTAACATCAAGCCTTCAGTCCTCCCATAATGCCCTGTTCTTTGGAAGAAATGTGTGCATGTGTCCCATCCTATATTGTAAATTGCTATTTACAATATAGGATGGGACACAAAACTGTTATTTGATTTTGGTGTGGAAGTGTTGAGAACAAAACAACTGGGCTCCCAGCAACTCTGCAAGAATGTATTTAGCTCTGAATTGAAGGTGCTATCAAAAATGGTTTGAACATTCTCAGAGCGTTCCCAGTATCATCAACATAACTAATTGCCCTGGAAATTATTTAGTTTGAAAAGAAATGTTTGACTTGGACCAGCAGTAGATAAAGCCTTTAGAAATCAGTGGCCTTAATAAGTTTATTGTTGGAGTGCGAGTAGAAGAAAAGTAGTACAGGCAAATAAGTCTTTTTTTTCTCTTAGTCCAATTCATGTACAAACCATGCTCCACAGGACTTTAGAGTGATCAGTCTGATGTTACAAATGGGATCAGGATGCAGCATCTCATACTAACAATGAATCCTGTTAACGATCTAAATTCTGCAGGACTGGGTGTATTGAAACAGTAGGCAGGCTTTTCATATTGCAATTATCACATTCAGTGTGTTATCTGGCCATGTAAGACCTTCAACCAAAGCTTTTGGGTCAGACTAAACATTGGAGACATGTTGTCAGGATTACATTGCCAATTATGGGAGCTCAGTTTTTATTGAAGAACTCAGTTAATTTGATTTAGCAGTGGTTGTTCAAATTCTCTTTTTACTAGAAATAGCCTGCCTGTTGTGGTTGGACCACAGGTTTTCTACCGTGCAGATTATGTAGACTGCAGTAGAGTCTGCAGTAGAGACTTGAGAGACCGCCTTCTGCCGATTACCTCCCTCCGACCGATTAGATCGCACAGGCTGGGCCTCCTCCGGATTCCATCCGCCAGTCAATGTCGACTGGCGACTACACGGAGGAGAGCCTTTTCTGTTGCAACTCCGACCCTGTGGAACGACCTCCCCGTTGAGATTCGTACCCTCACCACCATCCAGACCTTCCGCACAGCCCTCAAGACCTGGCTCTCCCAGCAGGCCTGGGGATAAGTTTCCAATTTACCCGCCCGAGTGTTGACTGTTGAATGCATGTTGTGGTTTACCATTTTATTTTGTTCACTTATTGTTTGTCTCTTGTTATTGCACCCCCTTCCCTCATGATTGTAAGCCACCCTGAGTCCCCTCAGGGAGAAGGGCGGCCTATAAATCTTAATAAAATGTCTAAAAAAAAATGTCTAAAAAATGGTGGGATTCCAATAATTTAACAAGCGGTTTCTCTGCCTTAATGATTTCTTCCAACAACCAGTTCACCAAACTGCTCAGAAATTTAACAACTGGTTCTCCTGAAGTGGTGCAAACTGGCTGAATCCCACCACTGCCTGTAAGAGTTGGTTCCTTCCTGGAAACCTTCTAGATCTGTGAACTGTATACTCAGTTCACTCACTCACTCTTATTTCTGGCCAAGTTTAATATTCTGTCTTCAGCAATGTAGGATGAGAGATTTCATAAAATCACATTTCATGAGAAAAAATGTCCTAATGGCCAGCATGAACCCAAAACCTTATAACATATATTTCTTCACTGGCATTTTTGTGAGAATGTATGTGCTGACATGCTATTCTACCTTCTAGCAGAGATTAAGCTTTCAATAAGGGAGAAATGGTTTGTTTTCTAGGCTGAGACCAGAACCCTGGCATTATGAACAAAATTGCCAAGTTTTTATTAGCAGCTATTACCATAAGATGGCTTAAGGCGGAGGTGTCAAACTCAATTTCATTGAGGGCCACATCAGGGTTGTGTTTGACCTCAGGGGGCTGGGCTGGACATGGCCAGGGTGGACATGGTCAGCTTGACATCACTTATGTCAGGGGTGCCTGTGGTGGCCCGAGCCCTCTGCCAGCAAAAACGGGCTCCCGAGCTCCATTTTCAATGGCGGAGGATTGCAGGAGGCTGCCACAGCTGAAAACAAAGCTTGGAAGCCTGCTTTCACTGGCAAAGGCACCATGGGCTGGTCCTTTGCTCTTTCCAGGGCAGCTCTGTGGCCAGATCTAAGCACCCCATGGGCTGGATCTGGCCTCTGGTCCTTGAGTTTGACACCCCTGGTTTAATGTATCCAAACCCTAGAACAGACCTGGGCATTTTACAGTCCCTTGGCCACAACCGGCCATTTGGTTATTCCTCTCCAGCCCATGTGAGCTGAATTGGAAATTAGAAATCAAATGTAAATAAGTGTATACCATGCATGCAGTACAACTTCAATTGCTTTGCTTTTGAAGATGACTGCCCCCCCCAATTTATGTATCCAGATGCATACATGCCTATACATCTTAGCAATAGCAATAGCAGTTAGACTTATCTACCGCTTCATAGGGCTTTCAGCCCTCTCTAAGCAGTTTACAGAGTCAGCATATTGCCCCCACAGTCTGGGTCCTCATTTCACCCACCTTGGAAGGATGGAAGGCTGAGTCAACCTTGAGCCGGTGAGATTTGAACCGCTGAACTGCAGATAGCAGTCAGCTGAAGTGGCCTGCAGTACTGCACTCTAACCACTGTGCCACCTCGGCTCTTCACATTGGTTCAGCCCTCCACAACATTCCCAGTTTCTCATGTAGCTCCTTGGGATAATTAATTGTCCAGACCTGCCCTAGAATCACATCACAAAGAAGTCATTTTATTCATTCATCTACATGCTGTTTTTACTTTATCTATTTTGTTTTGTTCTGTTTTAGTTTGTTCTGTTTTGCTTCCTTCTTATATGTGTAAATGTGAACTGGAGAATAAGTATTAGAATTCTGATTCAATTTTGGCTAATTTGTATACCCCTAATATATTTTCAGTTATAAATCCTAAAGATTCTTTTAATTTTTATTTTTCCATTGTGATGATGGGAAATTTTACCAAGAAGCTGAATGTGAAAATAGTTTGGATATCATCTGTTGTATTTTTCCCTTTTTGTTCTTATTACTTTCCAGGGGAATGTGACATTTTCCTGTTCAGAACCGCCAATCACTCCCATCACTTTTGAGAGCTCCAATAGCAGTTACTTACTGTTACCCGGCACTCCTCAGATTGATGGCTTATCTGTCAGCTTCCAGTTTAGAACATGGAACAAGGATGGACTCCTTCTGTCTACTGAATTGTCAGAGAATTCTGGCTCACTCTTGTTGTATCTCCACCATGGCAGACTGATCCTCAACATCCAAAAAGGAACAGAGAGCTACGTGGGCATCAGTGCAGGTATCATTATTTATCAGATGCATATTTCCTTCTCACTTTTGTTCTTGTTGTTAAATAAGGATCCTAGTCCATAACAGAGAATTGAGATCCTTTGTTTCAAGGGGGGAAGCCAATCCTCAAATGGTCATTTGTTAACACAAGCATAATATATAGTCTGTCATGTATTATAAAACTCTAATTTCCATTGATCTAATTTGCAGACCCAATGTAGATGGATGATAAAAATTGAGCTGCTGTATTTCTATGGCTATGCCTTTCCTGCTTAACATTTCTCTCCTTTCTAATGGAAAGGATTGCTTGTATATACACTGAGAGTATGCACTGGAGACAATTCCTTGTGTGTCCAATCACACTTGGCCAATATAGTATTCTATTCTATTCTATTCTATTCTATTCTATTCTATTCTATTCTATTCTATCCCATCCCACACCATCCCATTTTTAAACAATTTCCTGCATTGTGGTTGATAGTATAACAAATCCTTGGTTTGACATTCTGGGATACCAAGATGACATTTCAAAAGACATCTGGCAGCAAACCCTCATTATATGCTCAGTGCTCAATTGTTGAATTCCTAAAAAAAAGCCTATCATTCCATTGAAAAAGCATTCCATATACGCAAGAGCAAGAGCATTCTGTGACATTTTAAATACATAACCCTTTATAGAATAGGCTTTTCATGGAAGGGCTCAGTTTCCTTAAATAATTTTTTTACAATAAATTTATTCTTTACTCCAACTACTTGGCTGAAATGCCAAATAGTGCTAAGTATGTATTATTATTATTTCTAAATTCCTGTTCTTATCAGGTTTAGGCAAGACACAATAGCAAATGCTGTAGATACACAAGCTATAAATTATGGCTAGAGTAGAAGTTTCATCAAAACTATGAGGAAGGACTGAGGAGCAGACTAATCAAAAACAATCGATTAATATCAAAAATTAGGAAACCTTTATTTAAGCAAAGTTGAGAAGGAATAAGCAACCTTCTTCCTGATCTAGAGGATCCGATAGCCAATCAAGGGTCTGGAAATAGTAAATTGCCTGAAACAGGTAGCAAAATGCTCCATTAAGTAATTCATCATGTGAACAAATTAATATAAATTAAATGAATTATAAGATCATAGATGTGGGGTTGGAAATTACCTTGGAGATCATCTAATACAATCTACTCAGTGCAAGAATTGAATATTATAGCATATTCAACTAATGGGCATTCAGTCTCTAATGGCCATTAGTGAAGGACATTCTACAGTTCTTAAAGCTTTCTTTTCAACTATTGAGCACCTCTTATAGTTAGACTTTTTTTTCTAATTACCAGCTAAAATCGACATCTTGTGATTTGAACCCATTCTTGCTTTCACTGTTCCTGCCCTCTCTGTCATCTGGAAGAACTCCACAATTCTATGTAATCCTTCTTCAGACACTTGAAGACCGCTCACAATCTTTTGTTCTCCAAGCTAAATGAACCCAACAGCTTCAAATGTAGCTCCTTAGCCCCTTCTTTCTCAACTACAGTGCTTAGAACAGATACAGTATTTTTAGGGTAATTGAACCAAAATATAGCACATATTATATCATATATATAAGTAAGAGACCCTATACCATTTCAGACAGTCCAGTCTTAAAAACCTTGTTCAGCTTATGATCACTAAGACATCCAGATTCTTCTCTCAAGCCTCCCATTTATACTAGTGCCTTTGATTTTTCTTACCCAAATGAAGACATCTGTGTTTGTCTTGTCTAAAACCAAATTACTACAAGTTTGAACATAACACCTTCTCAGCAAACTCTCTCTGGGGCACATTATGTAGCCTTCTCCCAGAGCTCCACAGTGACTTCATTGATGAGTATCCAGCAGCACTTTAAACTCACAAAAATGCCTCTCAATTTAGATCTTAAAACAGTTCCTGGGAAATAAGCTTAATTAAAAACAATGAGATTCCCATGGAAATGTGCAGGGATATTATTTCATGGCTAACACAATGCAGCTGAGAATTAAATCAGATGGTTTCTTGAGAACAGATGCAACGAAGGTCCATGATTATCACAATTTAAGTCAAAATACACCCCACTCTGAAGCTTTAACATTTTTATGTGAGCTACATAATTGGTCACTTCAGAGTTCTGTCAGCAATGAGAATGCTCATAATCAGATGAACACACACACACACACACACACACACACACACACACACAAACTTATCCTATAGAAAAGATGTCTGTTCAGGATGGTTCTTATTTACAAATTTAAAAAACATGGCAAGTTCTTGTCCACATTAAATATCCACAACAAGAACTTTCTGGATTTGAGATTGCTTATACCCTCTCAATTGGGGTGATTAGGCAAGTTGGCATATATAGCAACTTCATGAGTGCCTCTGGTCTTCTGGCCATCCTATGTTTATGTGAAACATTCCGCTACTGGTTATTGCCCACTGAATGGTTTTGTTGCTCCTTGGAAGAATCAGAATGATTCACAGACATTGTCTTTTCCTTCTGGTCCTGATGTGAATGGTTGATCAGCTTTATATTTCTTTGTTTCTTAGGCAACAATCTATATGACGGCCTGTGGCACTCAGTTAACATCAATGCCAGAAGACATCGCATCACCTTAACTCTTGATAATGATGTAGCATCAGCTGTTCACGCTACCACTGTTTCACAGATTTATTCAGGGCATAGCTATTATTTTGGCGGTAAGCTGGCTTCTCCTGTAATTGCAATACACTATTACAGTTACCTTCCTTGTTTGAAAAAGAGAGAGATTATTTTTGTTACTAAGAAATTATATTGCTTCCTGAAAGGTTAAAGAAAAATATATTTATCTATCTGTCTATCTATCTTATTTCTATATTGTTAAACTTTGAGTGGCTTCACAGGTTAAAAACGAAGTATTTTTTAAGCAAAATACAAAGCAAAATCTAATATATAACCAGCTTATTGAGGGAAGCCACCAAAACATAACTTCAATTCACCTACTGGTAAAAGGGGAGGTCCCATCTCCACTCATTTGTGTGTTTGTGTTTGTGCGTATGCACTGATGGCTGCCAGCCAATAAGATAGTAAGCTGGCTGCCTGCCATACTCCAGAGATATACAGACTCAGTCAGAACTTTTTAGAAGCAAAGAGTCCTTTTTACCTATAAAGATGACAAATGCAATGCAGCCAAGGCTTGGAATGGATTGAGTCTAGGACTCCAATAAACAAACAGCAAATCCAAGGGAAAAGACAAAAAACACAGTGAAGTGGAATCAAGAGTTCCTGGCACAACAGCATGATAAGGTAAACACAACAGAGCTGAGGTTTGAAAGGTTTTCTAAGCTTTTTCTCAAGGGGAGTAAGATCAATAAATCACCCATGCTGAGCTCCTTCCATGCATGTTATTCCTCAGAGTCTGCTTCTTGGCTGACATCTCTGGTTTGTGTAGCTCAGTACTCTATCTCCAGAAACTTAAGACCTGCTTTGGCTTAGGGCTAGATGGATGCATCTCAGAGTCTGAGAAGTTTCATTGGGTGCAGGCAAGAGTCCACAGCCTTGCTGGATCTGTCTCAGCTGGAGCGGAGTCTGGGCTACAACCTAACTGGAATTATCTCCTCTAGAGTGTTATCTCTAGAAGGTCATGGATCTTTTCATCAGCCATAGATAGTCCAGCAGAGCCTTAATGCTTACTTTTAGCTTAAAGTTACAATTAAGTTTTCAAAGATCATTCATAGGTAAGCAAGCTGGGGGCCATGTGGCTCTCTGGCTGGGAGGGAATATACCTAAATGCCTGTGCTACAAGACAAAAGGCCTACCTTCTGGGTCTCATTGGGTTATACTCTTTAACTGATGGGATCTGGAGTGAATAGGATGGCTAGATTCTATAGGAAAGAGGAAATCTATAGGAGAGAGGAAATCCTGTAAGTGTGCAGATCCTATTTAATGTAGGACTGGTTAACACTTATAAATATTGGGGGGCTTCAAGTGTTTAAAACAATAGCAATATAAAGAGAATCCAAAATATGTCAACCCCCCCCCCCCATGAAATAGAAATAGTTCAAATGAACTTTGGGGATCCATCTCTTCTGCAGATCTCCAAGTTTCATCAGTTTTGTAATGACAAGAGAAATTTTGTTAATGCTTGAATGAAAGTATATTTAATTTTGTATTTTCAAGCCTGTACATAGTTATTATGTATCGTTGTGTGTTATCAAACTTAATTACAAGTTAAACTTTGCTTAAAATGTGGTTGCTAATTTTTAAAAAATGGGGAAACCTTAGGGAAAATTTATGCATTCTTTAAGATAATGTGCAAAATTCATTGTGTTGGGGAAATTGTTTATAAAAACTTACATTACACAAAATTACAAAATAAAATGCATGCTTGGGGGAAATGTGCACCAAATGCCTACCAATCAGCACAAGAAAGTTCTTTTGATCTGAAGAAATAAATGTGATAAAGTCATAAAACTGAAGAAATATGGGAGAAAAATAGGCTGGTGTGCATATGTGTGCAAAAGAGAGAGGGTGGGGAAAGGGAATGGATTAATATACAGTTAATCACTATATCTCTAGCAATAGATGAAGTGCATGAGCATAACCTCACTTTTTGTTAGCCAAGGACTTTCATTTCTGGCCAATACTTTTTCTGGGCTGAGAAAAAGTAAGGTAGTGTCTCTTTAGCCAATTTCATTTCAAGAGCTTTATGCGGACAGTCTTTGAAAGACCCTTAGATTTAAAAACATCAATAAGGAATAACATTTTCTCTAAGTCTTCCTTCTTTCAAAAGGATTCTGATAAGGTTTTCACTGGTATTTTCCAATCATCCTTTTCCCCTGAAAGACTTTATGACCCTACCTGGTGCTTTTAAAAGCATGTACCATTCAATGATGTGTTGTCTTTATTGGGTAGCAGCCACAAAGCATGCCCACTTGAGAATCAAAGATTTTGCATGCATTAAGATACATATATCATATGTTGCATGCATTAAGATATACATATAACAGTCATGGAGGTCTGAGCTAGGAGGTGTCAGCCTTTAAGGTACACCAGAATAAGAAACCAAAGCCAAACAGGCTAATATTACTTATATCACAAGTTTACATAACAGAATCTTGTAGATCTGAATGTATATGGCTAATATATTAAGACTCCCAGATCCACATCACAAATGAGTTTTTATCTAAAGTTGCTAATATGGAAGCATTTGAATGGTACTTAGGTTTCAAATTTTGGAATATTATAACATTACAATAACTGATGCTACAATATAAATTCAGACATATTTATTATTTTTCATACATTTCTTCAACTCATGATCATTGACTTTTAGATACTGTTTAAAAACAAAGCAGTAGACTTTAGTTATACCAAAGGATCAGTTTTTGGTTACTTTAATCCATATATCCATTCAGAGGAGCAGGCGTAAGTGGCAAAATAACAGACAAAGCATCCTATTGAGTAGGGAATTATACATTTTGGTACATTTTTATTCTCTAACAATATTTGTGTAAGATTTGTACACTGATATAAGCCTCTATCAGAGCAGATTGTAAACAGTTATTTCTTTGGAAGTAAATATCTGATCCCCAAACACCATGAGCTATGTTACAATCTTTTTAGTATGGCTTCATTTACTGGATTAATTTATATTTGGGAAAATAAGGTAATTTCCATCAGACTTTTCCCTAATTTTATTCCCATATCAACAGCCTGACATGTAGTTTGTAACCAAAAGAGACTGAGTAGCCGAAAGTCACTCAGTGACTTCCCATGATTTAGAAATGATTTGATATTCCTATCTCCAGTCACCCCAGCACTGAAAGATACAAAGGCAAAATTTAGCTATTCCATTTACTTTCCTCTTAAATTTTGGAGAAGAGTGAGTAGGTCTGTCTCCCTCCCACCCTCTCTCTCTCCCCTCTCTCTCTCACACACACTCATTCTTTCTTTCTCTCTCTCCCCCCTCCCATTGCCATATAGAAATTGATTAGGGATTCTTTGCTAATATTTAAACTACAGATTCAAGTTTGCTTTGTAGTAATGAAAGACAACTTGGTTTCCAGTTTAAAAATATATCTGTGTTTTAGATATGTTGGATATAGAATAGAATAGAATTACAGAATTACAAACTTGGAAGTCTTCTGGTCCACCCCCTGCTTAGGCAGGAAATCCTATAGCATTCCAGACAAATAGTTAATAGTTCTTAAAAACTTCCAGTGTTTGATCATTTAAAACTTCTGGAGGCAAGTTGTTCCGCTGATTAATTGTTCTATCTGTCAGGATTTTTTTCCTTAGTTCTAGATTGCCCCTCTCCTTGATTAGTTTCCACCCATTGCTTCTTGTTCTACCCTCAGGTGCCTTGGAGAATAGTTTGACTCCCTCTTCTTTGTGGCAGCCCCTGAGATATTGGAACACTGCTATCATGTCTCCCCTAGTCTTTCTTTTCATTAAACTAAACATACCCAGTTCCTGCAACCATTCTTCATATATTTTAGCCTCCAGTGCCCTAATCATCTTTGTTGCTCTTCTTTGCACTCTTTCTAGAGTCTCATCATCTTTTTTACATTGTGGTGACCAAAACTGGATGCAGTATTCCAAGTATGGTGGCCTTACCAAGGCATCATAAAGTGGTATTAACATTTCACATGATCTTGATTCTATCCCTTTGTTTATGCAGCCTAGAACTGTGTTGGCTTTTTTGGCAGCTGCTGCATACTGCTGGCTCATATGAAAGTTCCTATGATTATAATCAGGAAAGATGGCAATCATAATGTAAATGATTCACAAACATTTTGCATTTGGCTCCATTTAGACCCGTAAAATATGTTTGCAGATTCAAAACACTGTTCTGTTCTCAAATGTAGTAATCAGCTGTGGATTTCTGTGGACAGTCTTTAAGGTTTGAAATTATGGCTTTGAAAACAGATTACTTCAATTTCTCAATAAGCATTTAACATTGACCATAGCCTTTGCAAGTGCAGAATGCATTTTTGTTGGGTTATTTTATTTTATTTTTATTTTGTAAAATTTATTCTATAGGTGTCTTTTTAACCTCATTTTTGATACTATAGTAAAAAGAATAGAAAAAAGTTTGGCATTGTTTAACACTATTTGCTCAGAGGATTGCTTATGTATGTGAAGTTATTTCTTTTAGAACCTGCTTTCAGGGTGCAATAGTATTATAGAATTCATTTCAGTCTGATCTTTGCACTGCTGATATTTCAAAGAGTTTACTCTATGCTCCCTGATTATATCCAGGATGCACAATGCTATTGGATGACATTTTCATTTTTCCTCTATGTGTCTCTATCTATCTAAGCATAATGATAGGTTTACTCTAGATACTGATATAGCTTCAAAAGATGTCATAAAGCTAAGTGTAATTCAAACACCATCCTGGTAAAAAAAGATTACACAGGATTTCTAAAGCCAAACTTGTCATGAAGTTGACACTAGAATTGTAGTAATTGTTACTTTATTGTTGCTCTGGCATAATCTTAAGAGGTTGCTAGCTGAGCACCATGGGAGAAAGGGGTTCTGCTTGGTCTGTGACAAATTCACCAAGTCTTATATTATGTCTCCCAGGCTTTGCAGCAACTTTAGACTATATCAAAAATAGATGGTTTTTAGAATATACTAGACCTATAGTAGACTAGCAGATAAGTATACAGCTAAACTTAGTCACTAGTTATAAAATAAGGAAGAGGCATTTTAATATATTCTCAGCAAACACTATTGCATTGTAACTTGTCTTTATTTCATCCATGCTCTAAATTGGATTATTATTGTTATGGTTCATTGTACAATCAGCCAGATGTAGTTGTTATTCTTCTATTGCTTATTTCATAGGCTCCTTGGTTTTTTAGCTGGAGTTTTCTAGCTTGGTTTCCAAGGAGTCTACGAAATACCATGCAAAATTTGTCGTCATGTTTATTCATGTTGTGTGGGTGTTTCTCTATTTTGATAGCTTCCATAATTATTCTCTTGTTGAAGTGTTCAGTTTTGGAGATTAATTTGGTTCCTTCAAAATTAATTTCATGTCCTGTAGCTTTAAGGTGCTGGAAAAGGGAGGAAGGTTCCCCCCCCCTTTTTTTTTCTTACTGTGCTCTGGTGTTCTGCGATGGGTGCATTTATTCTCCTGTTTGTTTGTCCTATGTATGTGGCCGGACAGATTTGCATGGTATTTCTAGCTGGATCTTGTCTTTGTGGTTCTTAAGATGTTGGCTATTTTTTGGTCAGTATTGAAGGCTGTCTTGATATTGTCTTTGTGGAGAATTTTGCTGATTTTACTTGTTGTGCCTTTGATGTAAGGGAGGAGGGCAATGCCGTTGTCCTGTTCTGTGTCTCAGTGTTTTGGGGGAGTCTCCCTTTGGATTAGGTTGGTAATTGTTTTTCTTTGGAATCCGTTGGACATTAATACGTTTGTGAGAGTGTGTAATTCAATTTTCAGGTGGTCTTTGTCGGCTAGGCATTTGGTTCTGGAGATGAGGGTCTTGACTACAGAGTTGATCTATGCAAGGTGGTGATGGGATTGTGTGTTTAAGATATGTTGATGACACTTTTGTGATTTGGCCACATGGGAAAGAAAAACTGGGCAACTTCCTCACACATCTCAACAGCCTACACTCCAAAATACAATTCACTATGGAAATAGAAGCAAACAACCAACTTCCCTTTCTGGACATCCTAATCTACAAAAACCCAATGGCTCCCTAGGACACACCATCTACCACAAAAAAACACACACCAACTGCTACTTAAATGCACAATCCCATCACTACCCTGCACAGATCAACTCTGTAGCCAAGACCCTCATCTCCTGAACCAAATGCACATGTTGGTTAGGCAGTGATTGGTCAGATCTAGGATGTGCTTAGGGGGGTTGCACAACACGGGATGCAACCACCAATCATCCTCACCAGACTCAAACCCAAACCCATCCCATAGACCAAATGCAACCATCATCCAGAAGACAATCCATGGCGGCATCACCAACTGCTACACCCCCCTCCGACGCCCACACAAAGCAAACTGACACATGCCATGAACACATGGCCAGACTGCAAACTAAGAGTCAAACCAAAGCCCAGGGTGTTACACCACAGCCATCTGCTCAGGACATTACATCACAGAACTCAGGAGGTTACAACGCAAAGGCTCAGGATGTTACAACGCAGCCAACCCCCCAGGAGCTTGCAGCACAGGACTCAGGATATCACTACAATAGAGCTCAGGATATCATCACACAGCCCATTACCCAGGTCGTTACAACACAAAAGAGCAATAGGCACACAGCCTAACACAGGATGTTACGAAACAGCCGACTAATCTGCAAACATCAATTCCATCAACTAAACAAGATCTTACAACACAGCCAACCAATCTGGTTACAGCAACAAATCCAGCACTCTGCACCCCCCCACCAATATTTATAGAAAGACGGCAGCTCTGATCACGCTTTGCTTGCACAAGCATGAAGCCAAAGGCACCAGCCTGAAGATGGCGAGTGGGACCTTGTCGAAACGTCGCCAAGATACTCTCAATCTTACATGGAAAAGCAAACAACCACATATAAAGCAAAAGCAAATATATATCAGTGGTGAGTTGCAGGCAGTATGCCCCGGTACGGGCGTACCAGAGCCTGCCTGGAGTACCAGATACCGTTCTAGTATGGTGCTCACGATGGCCCACCCACCCGAGCTCCCTACCAGTCTTTTAAGTCTTTGGTGCTTCCGTGCACGCCGCGTACAGCACCTGTGCAATGCTCCTCTGAGTATCTGGAGCATCGTGAAGGCTCACAGAGGTGCTAAGGCGCATGCACATGCTGCACACATGTGCGGTTGGAATGGGATCCAGAACCCATCTCTCTCTCTCTCTCTCTCTCTCTCTCTCTCTCTCTCTCTCTCTCACACACACACACACACACACACACACACACACACACACACACAAAATTAAATGTATATATTTGATGTTAAATAAAATACAGAAATTTTACATCCTTATTTGTACTTTTAGAATAATAATATGTCTGGCAGTTTCTAACGTTGTGCTATGGAAACAGTCTGAACCACTAGGTGAGCCATTGTCAAAATAAGTTGTCGAGATAGGCTGTTTGATCAACAGTAATGAATGGCTACAGTGGGAGTGGGTGGCAGGGGCAAGAAGAATTGGAAAGAGAAGAGATGGAGTCTAAATTCACAAGTCCCTATATAGCTTACAAGACTGATATTCAATAGGAAGTGACAGCTTTCCCCAACTATGTGCCATCCACAGATACTGAAACAAACGATTGTAGAAGTGCAAGGTTGGAGTGGATTATGTACTCCAGAAAAAAAACTGATAAAATAAAGACTGGAGAGATAAAGGACAAATAAATGGAATAAGATAAAGGAGATGATCAGGGACAAGAAAAAAAAGGATGCAATAAGCTGCAAGGATCCCCAAAGGTTCCTGGTATGAGTACAAAACAGCTCCTCCAATAGCAGAAACTGCATCAGACTTTAAAGGCTGGTTTTCTTCCATTCTTATAATAGTGCCCAATAGTAAATTGAGCCTTTTCATGTCTATTAATCAAGTTTTATTTTTGTTAATAATCAGCACATCTATTCTCATTATACAGTAAAACTAACTATAGCATGATAATTGCTGTGCTTTTGCTGCTTCTATAATACTACAGAAAGTAAAATGAGCAAGAGAGTATTTTAATGAGGATTTTTGATACCTTCAGTAAACAAATGGGATCTTAAGATCAATGTTCAGGATTCTCTCTCAACCCAAGACACCCCACAGGGTTGTTGTGGGGAAAATAGGAGGAGGAAGAAAATAGGCGGGTGGGTGTGGCCATGGTGGACATGGCCTAGTCAGCCTCCTGCACCATGGTGTGTGTGTGTGTGTGTGTGTGTGTATGTGTGTGTGTTTGCCCTCTCCAAGTTCTAGGAGTGTGAAAATGGCCTCCCCAGGCTTTGAAGGCCCTCTGGAGGCCAGAAACAGGCCCATTTCCAGCCTTTCCAAATTTCCAGTAAGCATGTTTTTTCGCCCTCCCTGAGCCTCCATGTGCACCCTGCACTTACCTGCATCCAAAACGGGTTGTGTGGGACTCCTGAGAGTGGAGGGGTGGGCGGGGCCAGCCAGGAATAAGATTTGGAGGTTCTCCGAACTGCACAGAATCTTATCTAGAGGTTCTCCCAAACACCTGCAAACCCCCAACAGCCCACCCCTGGTTATTTATAAAAAAAAGGAAAAAAGAAAGGCATAATGAAATATAAAATAAAAATAAATAAAATAGACCCAGCTCTCGTTAAGAAGCTCTCTTAATAATATGTGCATATCATTTCTATGCATTTCAGCAGCTTATTGGTAAAGACTTATTTTATTATCAGAAAATACCTAAACTTAATCCCTGTAGCCTAAGGAAATAAAAAGTCAAGGAAGGGATTTCTCTGCATAAGATCCTAAAAACTTACAGTCTCCAGTAGGTCATATGTTTGGGTAAAAGGGTGAATGCTTTGCCTTGATATAATACAACCTTTTAATTTGTGAACAGATATCTTAAGTAGGTTATGTCAGGCAGCTCCAATCCATGGGATCCCTCTGAAGATAACAAAAACCCTACTTTTAGTTCTAGCTCATACTTTTTTTAATGTTAAAAAAGAATAAAGTTTGAACCTGCCTCAATATCTGTTTTCTATCCCCATTATTGCATATTTTCTTTGGAGGATGTTTCAATTTATTTTTATAGAATTTGAAACTTAAATGCTCCTGTTGAACAAGCAAGGAAAACACACAAAAAATTAGACTTTCTTTCTATGAATCCCCAAGCAAATAAGTTATCATTTAAGTATTCTTCATCTCACTGCTTTCTACTTTCTTTGTCCCACAGGGTGCCCTGACAATTTTACCGATTCAAAATGTTTAAATCCCATTATGGCTTTTCAAGGTTGCATGAGACTCATCTTTATTGATAACCAGCCCAAGGACCTCACTTTAGTTCAGCAAGGCTCCCTGGGGAATTACAGTGATTTGCACATTGATATCTGTGGCATCAAAGACAGGTAATTATTCTCCTTTTCCTTTGTCTTGTTGTTTTCTTTCAGCTAAGTGGTTTATAAGTGCAGTTTTTCTAGAACTGGAAATTTTAATATGCGATCATTATTAATATTAGGCTTAACAGAGTTGCTACCGCAAAACATCACTTCAAAGCAACGATAAATTGTGTGAAATGTGTGCTTTCTCTCTCTCTCCTTCTGGCAGTTTGTGAAAGATGAAATATGCAAATTAAACCATGCTGTAGATTTGTGCAAGAATTAAATTATATACCCAAAGCACGTTTGACAGCTTTAAAGTTTAAATAAACAGTAGTGCCATTGTTTGAATGATTTAAATATGTCTTCTTCTCAACTTGTTTTATTTGACTAAATTCTGGGTTCTAAAATGCTTTAGTGAACACTGGAATTTTTTTGAATAGAAGCAAAATAAAGTAATATTGATCTTGCTAGAAATCATATAATTTTATAAATCATCGTGAGGACCAGGCTGAAACACAAAAGCCAAGGATTGAAAGTGAATCCCAGAAACTGAGGTTCTTTTATAGCCAATATATAGATTTGAGTCATAATGGGATCGCTATCTTGTCATTGAAAGCTTTCAGGGATTGTGGTGTAAGAAAGCTATTTTAAGCAACAGCTCTAGTTAAAGGAGCATCTTCCTAAATGGGGTCAAACAACTTTGAGTAATCCAACAACAGCAGCAAATCATGGCCATAAAATCCATTCTTTGGCCATTGGAAGACACTATCTACGGATCACCAGGTGGATCAAAATTCTACTGTGCCACCGGAACTCTCGTTCCCTGCCTTTTGCTGAGGCGATTGAAGCCTGCCTTGTGCTTGCAGAAATGGCTTTATGTCAATCTATGCCTCCCATGGGCATAAGGCTTGCCATTGGTTGCTTTCCTGCATATGTTATAGACATAATTAATGCTCTTGCTAGATCTTATATTTGAGGTTGATTTTAACTGTGTTATTGTAATGTAGGTACTGATGAGTCAATACAAAATGATTGGATCTACCTCTGTTTGTCTTTTGGCTGTATTGTTTAAATTATTATTCAAAGGGACTATTTTTTATGTTTGTGAAAGGAAAAGTAGAAGCGGTTGCTTTTACAGCTCAGGTCTATTTATATTGGTTATATTAAAACTCTGGGATTTCCCCTTTAAATGGATCACTATCTTGTCATTAAAAGCTTTCATGGACTGTGGTTTAAGAAAGCTGTTTTAAGCAACAGGTCTGGTTATGTTTTTGATAGGAAGGGTAGAAACAGTTGCTGTTGTTTTTTCCCTGCAGGGAGTGACTGAGATAGCTTCCTTAGCTTTCGGGTGGTGGTGGTGGGAGCTCTCCATGCACTCCCACTCAGCATGTATTACTTAGGGTTCTTTTAGGTGTTCTCTAAAGAAAGGGAAAAACAGCAGTACAATAGTCACCTCCTGCAGAGAAGGCAACTGCTGTTGATTAACTCCCTCTTTCAAGTTCAGATTGGGCTCTGAAGACTAAGTAAGAAAGGCATGTTGAGAAGGGTTCTTTTCTAAGAACAGGAGACTGAGAGAAATAAAAGGGACCGACTCCTACAAGGGAAGGTGACTGCCACTGTTTCTTTATTTAACACTTAGATCGGGCTCTACACGCTCACTTACAGAGTTGTTTCCCTTCTTTGTGAAGCCTGCTATGGGTCACTGGATAATTTCTGGAGAATAAAAGAAAAAAAAGTACTTGCTCATGTTGTATTAAGGAGAGTAGAACAGCCCTGTTCTGTCCTCCTCCATTACTATAGCTCTTTGCTGTTAAATAAATATTCTGAGAAACTTGATCAAATGTATTCCCCCCCACCCTGAATTCCTTCCTGTCTTGGTCTCCATGGTGGGCCTCTTCTCTTGATCACTGCATCTTTGTCTTTCATGCCAGATTTATTTTTTTGTTCACTTATTTTCATGTATATTTTTTATTAAAGAAAGGGTTTTTTTTCTTCACAGTGCAGTGTAAAAAACAGTACAAATTTTAAGTTAAAAGCAGAGAAACAGAGAAACAGAGAAAAGGAATAGAAAAGTGAAAAGGAAATAAAAAGATAAAAAGAAGAGCAAATAAAAAAGCAAGTACAAAACGAAAGAGGCTTCTAATCTTCTTAAGAGCAGTTATAACTACATTTAGATTTTACTCTTTCTCTCTCCAAGGTTACAGCAAACTTCTTTCTACATTCTATTTTTTTCTAATGATCAAATCCAAAAATTATCAGATTTTTTTCCCCAAGCAAAAACTATTTAAGGGATTTTAATTGGAACAGATTTTGATCCAGTTCAGTCCCTGAATCCTGAATTTTGGCCTTTGGGATTATGTTGTGCCATGAACTCACCCTGTCTTCTGGAAGTAGTCAATGTACATGCACCATAACATAAAATGTCTGATGAAGCTCTATTACCACTTTCTGTAGAAATTTTTTCTGTAAAGCACCAAGGTCTATCATGGGGGGAGACAGAAGGCATGTAACTGTGGTATGGGGAATTGATAAAATTGCAATTATTTTCTATGGTTGGAATCCAAAATTTTATTTATTTATTTATTTGTTTAACTTACATGCTACCCATCTCACCTAAATATGACTCTGGGTGGCTAACAATCAATAACAAGAGAGAAGATCATTTAGAATTTACAAGGCAACATGGAAACTTGCAAAAATGTTTACCCAATTGGGTTGCATAACTTTCCACTCAGTACATAAAGATTTCAGAGTAATCTACATGTTTGGGGAAATAAATGATTAAGAGTTTAGGCATGCATTCTGTTAAAACATCATCTCCAGGCCAGTGTCCATAGAGCAGGGGTGTCAAACTCGATTTCATTGAGGGCTGCATCAGGGTTGTGTTTGACCTCTGGGCATTGCCAGGTAAACGTCACTCATGTCGGGGATGCTTGTGGTGGTCTGAGTGCTCTGTCAGAAAAAACAGGCTCCCGAGCTCTGGGTGCAGCCCTCACAAACTCTATTTTTGCTGGCAGAGGGTTGTAGGAGGTTGGGGCAGCCGAAAATAGAGCTTGGGGGCCCATTTTTGCTGGCAGAAGGACCATAGGCTGGTCATTCATTGTTTTCAGGGTGGCATCATAGGCCAGATATAAGTACCCCATGGGCCAGATCTGTCCCCCGGGCCTTGAGTTTGATATCCCTGCTATATATGAATTGTATCTTCTCATCAATTGCCTTTTTGCATTCTAACTTCACATTTTTAACTCTCCAACAGCCCCTTCTGTAACAGAATTACCTCCTTGCTGCCTTCCTCTTGTTTGTTCTGAAGTATAATTTCAGACTTAACATTTTCCCTCCTCTCTTAACTATTCTTTCACATATTCATTCTATTGGCTTCTGTGTTGTGTTACAGAAAATAGACCAGAGGGAAATTAGATCCTAGTGAAAGCTAAGAAAGAAAAAAAATCAGGAAAAAACATAGAAAAAAGAGTGTGATTCTTGCACATTTCAGCTCTTCTTCCATATTTAATTTGTAGAGTGTAGTTCAGATTATTAATGCCTTTTCTTTAAATGGCCAGAGAAATGAGAGATTTTCCTCTCTAATTATGCCTTATATGTTTCAATTGCATTTATTTTATATCAAAATCAAATCCCTTTGCTTGGACTTAGGAAGCAAATATTTAATAATTGTCTGCGCCCTGAAATAATTAATGTGCAGTCAGCTAAGAAAAGCTGTCTAAGGATACTTCTTTGTCATTCTTCCTTATTGGTGGTTACATTATTTACTTAGAGAACTGCAGTATCTATTCTGCATTCATCCTGCTCTTTTCCACCCTACAAACGATGGTAGCCAAACAATGGTGCCAAATTATGGGTCATGGTTAGGACCATGATCATGGGACTTTTATGATGGTCCCACTTCAACTTCATGGAAGGCCTGAAAGGAGTTTCAACACCAGTGTTTTTCTTGAGCAACCTATGTGCATGAATTGGCCTCCAGTGAAATGCAGAGAGCTAAACAAAGTCTCATAACCATTGATGGTCAAAATGTGGTAGACATTTCCAGGTCCAATTACCTGAGACATTATTTATTAATTTATTAAATTTATGTGTCATCCTTTTTTTGTGACGTTCAACACAGTATAAATAGAACTTCCTCCTCCAATTTTTATCTTTACAACAAAAGCCCTTTGCTGTACATGGGTTGATTTACAGTTATTTGCTCAAAGCCATTTAGTGAACTTCTATGCCTGAACTCAGGGACTTGACTTCTATGGACTGGATTAAGGGACTCCCCTAGCTTAGTCCAGTAATGTAATGGTTACATTACAGCTTACTATCAAGAATAAAAGTCTAGAATAAAGATATCACTGAAAAATGAGCTGTGAGTGGTGGAGAAGAGTGTTGGTGAAAGATTTCTTCCATCTAGTTTAGTCAAATGTAAAAAGAGTAGCTCTCTAATAGAAGAGAATATTTATAGTTCAGGGTTGAACTCTGGAGATTTTTTATTCTGTGAGTTTGGTTGTTTTCTTTCGACATTTCATTATCCAAACTAGGTAACAGTGCTAGAAGGAACTGGGGTTTCTCTCTGTTTATATGCAAGTGGCTTGCCCTGTCAGTATTGGTTGGAGTATTCTTGAATTCCTTGATTAGGCTGTTGTTTACTGTTTGTCTGAGTTGGTAATCCCTTGATTGGTATATTGTTTGTTGCTTGATTGTTAGTCTAGTGTTAATCCTGCTGTTAATCTCTGCTGTCCTGGGTGTTGATTGCTGACAAGGAAGTGTTTGGGTCTTTTTGTTTCCTTTTTTATCTTTTTTATTGTTTCTTTCAATGATACATAGATGTCATTTATCTCTATGTGCCTATTGATAGCTGATTAGTCTGAATGCCAGGCTTTAAAGGAACTATCTAGCACACTTGGATTTAGCTTGATCTGGGATGCTAGAGAATTCCTGTCATCAAACCTGACATTAAGTGAAGATTACACAATTTAAATTGCAACAAAAAAATGCTGGCATACAAAATAATCATGCCTAAAGATAAA